GAGTATCAAAATCAAGGAAGCCGCTGAAATTCAGTTATAACTTAAAAATGGCTCGCTTTCATTTGCAGTTCAAGCCGTAGCGACATATATAGCAGTTGACGGAGGAGATGGATGGGTTCGAAAATTGGTGCTGAAATTCAATGGATTTACGAAATGTGCCACTGATTTTTGGTGGTCAACGAAAACTAATTTTCCCATTTTCACACAAAACGTCGACGTGTCGATGTTTTCCTTTATTTTCAGATTTTTGTCTGGCGAAGGAATCTTCCTCGAAAAAAACGAACAACAAAATCGTTTTCTAAGCTTATATTCCTCGATTCCCGCTTCTACCCCCGTCCAGGCCCGCCAATTAAAAAATAAAAAATAATAATAATAAATTTTATACTTTTCTTAAGACTTTATCAAAAAATAAATAAATACGTAAAATTCCTAAGAAGAAAAAAGGACGCCACTACCACTAACGTGATTGACCAAGCAAAAATGAAATGACCATAGAGGCTTCATTTCATTGCTGTAGTCATTTCTTATCCCTGATATCATCACCTCGAAGAAACATTTTTAGTAAGAACAGGGTTTAATTTAATTCATCACAAAAGTAGTTATTTATCTTTTAAATTTCAGTGTTCTGTTTTTTTTATGTGTTGTAATTTTTTCTTCAATTTGAAAATCTTTCTCATAGTTTTCATGATATATTATTGAGCTTTTAAGGTATTGTATTTGTAAAGACAAACATTTTAATCTACATTTAAAAGTAGAAAAAATGTTGGTTATTTAAATACATAAAATATTACTATTGATTTGAGATTTCTCTTTATAATTTTAAAATAAAATTTATAATTTATGTCATACAATTTATGTGTAACGACTACTATGAAGAGACTTGTTAGATTAAGAAAAAACTATATAATTTATTTGAATAATGTCATCTTGAGTTTTATATTTAAATAAATAAAAAATGAGTATTTTTTTAAGTAGCCTACTTTTGAAAGGATAAAAGTAAAAATAAAGTTGAATTAGATTAACCTTTTATTTATTTATATATATATATATATATATATTATTTTTTAACACAATACGTAGGTGGGAATTCGAACTTGAACTTTTTAATTAAAGATAAGTACTTGACCACTTGAGCGATGTTCGGTTCGATTATATATAACAATACTTATTTCTTGTAAGGTTAATATGGGAAGAGAAAGGGTGGCATGAGAAATTGGCAGGGGCAATTGGGTAATTTGGAGAAAATAACACGTGTGGTAATGGATTTAATTGGTTGAGGAAGGTTCTATTCTACGATTTGGCGTCTTGGATGGACTTTATTGGCTTTCACATTTATTCACAATTATCTTTTACGTGTTTTATGCCGCTTTTTGTCGAGACCAACTTTAACTGAGTAGTAATCGGTGTTTGTTTCTTGTCAAAAGGTCATAAATTCAAATCTTCATCCTCATTTATTGTACTTAAAAAATAAGATACTAAAAAAAACTATGATCTTACTTATTGTAAAACTGGTTCATAACGAGTTTAATGAGCTTACTCAGGACTCTCAAGATCCGAGCAAGAAATGACTAAACTTAACAATTAAGATGAGTCTTACTACTTAATCAGGCCAAGACTAGCTTTTTATCACTTATCGGGTGTCCACCAGTACTTTAGGATGTCACCCCGAGCATCGCCTCCAAACATCCATACATCCAAACATTATCAAGGCATGACGTCTCTTTCGTGTCAATGCCACCTCACAGCTTTTAACATATCGTCCTATACAACGACCCTATGGTGCAACCTTTTACCTACGGGACAAGACGTAATGTCAGCACATCCGTGTCAGCCAACATTGTCCTTGAGATTCCCATACCCAAAGGAAGACGCTCGAGACCTTAATTTTGCCACGCTCGTCCATGCCATGAAACACATATGTCCCATAGGGCACCTCAGTTAGACCATATAGCCTAGGGGAGTGAAGAGTTCAAACCATGTCTCTCCCTTACTCTGGCAAGCCTGTACGTGCCTCGCTAGCATAAAGTGCACATCCAAACTTCGGTTTACACGAAACTTTACGTGCTTGTACACTAATATGCATCTAACTCCAGAGTCGTTCGTCCAAACTCTCACTTGAACTCCGACTTTTGACGCAGTCATTGCTTCCAATCTTGTTTGCGCTTTTGCTAGGCTTTCTTACACACATCCTCATAGTGTGTTGGGTGATGCATTATCTTCCTTGGACGCATCGTAAGATTTCTCTCTTGGCCCTCAACATACTCGATGGGTGACACATTCATGTCGCCACCACTTGAACACTTGATGGCCATCACACAGCCATATTAGTGATAGGAAAAAATCATCTACTTCTACCGCAGGAATAAGTAGAAAATAACTGAGAAATTTAAAGAAAAAACTGCAAACCGGAGAAAAAACCACAGCCCACAAAGGAAAATCCACTATGTGAAAAATTATTACAATCACACATATTACACTCTTTCAAAGCAAATACCAATACCAAATACCAATACCGTTCAATTAACTAGAGCTGGTATACCAGCCTTAAAGTATTTCAATTGGGATGATTAAAACTCAAGCCCCTCAAGCCCATGAGCTCCTTTTATAGTAGTTGGAACACATCTCCTCCTTGTACTTTTCCGATGTGGGACTTCTAGTACATGGAGACCATMTTTGTATTCTTCCAATGTGGGACAACTTCAATTTCAATATTTTGTCAAAATCCAACAAGAGACTTGGTCATTACATGGTCCTTTTAAACAAAAAAAATGTTTCACGTAACACTTTGTTTATTGACTTCATTTCAGTTACATTTTTTAATGATTATTTTTTTCTAAAACCATTAAAGTTTTCAACCTGGGCATTACTCAACCAGTTAAGGAATTTATCTTAGACGTAAAGATCATGATTTCAAATCCTCATCTTACATGTACTAGAAAAAACCATTAAAATTATTTTGTTTACCATGATTCATGCGAGCAACGAAATGTGTGTTAAAAGTAACTAGTTCATATTTGTAGTTATATTTTAGATAATTTAGTTTACTACCAAGGTTATAGTAGTGGATAAGACAATACTAATTATCTTGAGGTTGAAGGTTTAATTTTTTATCATATATTTATTAAACTAAAAAAAATTATATAAAAAGAGAGAAAAAGGACAATGTCACGTTTGCCCTATTGCATACTTGAAAGTGAAATATTACCTACTACTCATAATTGAATTATGCACTCCACCTCAAGTATTTTTGCTTTATTTTCTTAGATTCATAAATAAAGGTTTGAGATTTGAATTTCTGGAACCAGTTCTATGTTTAGGTTTTGATTTTCTTCTTTTTAGTGTGTTGACCACTATAACTTGATGTAATAATTTTTTTTTTTTGCATACCAATCCGAGGATTCTTAAATTATAAAATACTGTTTAAATCTTATTTTAGTCCATAAATTTGTTTGTTTGTTTTCATTTATATCTTGGTCACCAAACCTTTAAAATTAAAATGTCTTACTTCAGGTATCAAACTTTTAATAAACAATCATTTTAGTCTTTTGAAGTTTCAAAATTACCTTCTCCAGTTTCCAAATTCTAAAAAATATAATTATTTTTTTTATTGATATTATCTTGTCACCTTATGTACCTTCGTCCAATATTCACCTCAATCAATATCAAACACGGATTTATATCTATGTAAGTACATTAATACATATACTCAAAGCCACAATATCTATTTATTAGAAGTGAAATAATCATAAAGACCAAAAGAATTATGGTTTAAATTAATAAATAAAGTAGACTTTCATGGAATTTAAATTGGAAACAACAATAATTTACTTGGGGGAATTTAAAATATATAAGTAAATAGTCATCAATCATGATATTGAGGGGTTGTTTCTAGAATTAAATATAACGAACTTGGTGCATTTTCGATTATGGTATACGACTAAATCTACCATCACCATATTGATAATATTGCTTTCATTAAGTAAACGGTCAGATCATGGACTATATAAATTACTAATTCATTTCTCATTCTTTTGCGCTAAGCTCTTTTTAATTTAATTTAATTTAGATTTTTCTATTATTCAAATTTATTTTATTTGTTGTCGGAATAAGTCTTAAATCCTAATGCTACTGTCTACCGACGGAGTTGTATTTTATTTTGGCATAGTTTTAAAAAATAATTTCTATAAATATCTTAGACTTCCTTTTTCCTGCTCCAAATACTTAAATCAAGACTCATTTACTACTAATCTAGTTTAAACTAATGCACCATATCATTCCAAAAATATTAATATTAAATATGAAATATTATAAAATTTTATATACTTAGATTAAGCTTCGATTGATTAAGATTTACACTCATAATAAAAAAAATTTCCGAAAAAATAAACTTTTTGATCTATATTTATAATTAATTTATACTCATTTGATTCAAACATTACGAAGTAACATGGTAATTTACATTATGGTATTAATTATGCAAAATGGTCGATTATTTCAAGGTCAAAAACCAATTTAAAATGGAATACCCTGAAATTTACACTCCACATATTCCAATAACACATGGTCCCTCGATTCCAATTTAATATTTGATACGACTAGATATAAAAAAAAAGAATATATATTTGATACGACTAATCAGAATCAACAAACTATTAATTTAAAAAAATAAGCAAGAAGTTTCAGTTTTCTATTTGTGTATATTTTAATAGTTCTTTTGATACATTTGACCAAAATATTAATTGAATTAAAGATATGATTTAAATATTTATCTGCGACGGAATATCCATTTCTTGCTGAAAGGGAGAGGGAAAGGACTAATGAATTTCAGAGACGCGTCAGGGGTATTTTGGTAATATCGCCAAGGGTAGTCTCGGTAGAGCGAGCCAAAACTACGCAGACTGCCGGATTCATACCATTTTCGAAAATTATGTGAAGAGTAGGGATAATTCCGTAATTTGAGATTTAGCATTGACGGGAGAAAGGCATATAAGGCGGGGAAATGCTTCATTTCTGTTGTCCGAAGTCGACTAGCGAAACAGAGGAGCAAAAGCTTGAAGAAGACGAAGGACTAACAATTTTAAGAAACTCAAAGAAAAAAAAGAACTCCGATTTCTAGTTTTATTCGCTTGGGAAGTGGTGCTGAAGTTCTTTGGTCTTTTGGGTATCAATGGCGGATCATTCACTAGGTCCGGCCAGCTTCTGGACCCAAGCAAATGCTCTTCTCAGGAAGAACTTGACATATCAGGTCTTTCTAACATTTCTTAATCTCTGTTTCTGATATCGTTTTCTCTGTGAAGCCATAGAACTAGGATTCTGGGATCTGGATTTCATTACAATATCCTTTAATCTATGAAGTTGTTCTTTCTGTATATATACATATATTATTTTCTTGAATGTTGCAGTTTCAAAAATCTTAGCTAAAAAATGATTATTTCTTCCTGCTTGCTTCTTTCAAACTAGTGTAGCTCAATTCCTGAGATTGATAAGCTTCAATATTCATATGATGGGATTTAGTAAATCCGATTTACTGAAGTAACTCTTGTTTCTTTTCATGACATCTAATTGTGAAATTCCCCTTTTTTCCCTCCTCAGAAACGAAATATGAAAACGAATGTTCGGCTCATTTTGTTCCCGTTCGTCCTGTGTTTATTGCTTGTGCTTATTCAATCGTTAATCGACAATGAATTGGACAAGCCCAAATACAGATGTGGTTGTACTTGTATTGATACTAACGGAGATGGCCGCTGTGAGGAAGTCTGTGGAGTACAATTTTCAACTCTGGAACAAGCTTCCAGTTGCCCAATTCCAAGCCCACCTGAATGGCCTCCTTTGTTGCAAATGCCTGCTCNTTGTCCGAACTCCGAAGTCGACTAGCGAAACAGAGGAGCCAAGCTTGAAGAAGAGGAAGTACTAACAATTTTAAGAAGCTCGAAAGGAAAAGAAAAAAAAGCTCCGATTTGTAGTTTTATTCGTTTGGAAAGTGGTGCTGAAGCTCTTTGGTCTTTTGGGTATCAATGGCGGATCATCCGCTAGGTCAGGCCACCTTCTGGACCCAAGCCGATACTCTTCTCAGAAAGAACTTGACATATCAGGTCTTTCTAATATTTATTAATTTCTGTTTCTGATATCTTTTTCTTTCTGAAGCCACGGAACTAGGATTCTGGGGTTTCATTATAACGTCCTTTAATCTCTGAATTTGTTCTTCGCGCGTGTATATATATATCTCCAAATTAATTGACAATAATGTAGGATCTTAGTGATTCGTTTCGACCCCAATCTTGGTTGAATCTTATTTTACTGTTTTGTTTGGCTATACGATATCAATATTCATATGAGAGAACTAACCCATATATATTTTAAATCTCTTTATGTCTCTTGATCTTCTCGACGGAAAATATATATTTTTTTTTGTTTTCTTGAATATTGCAATATTCATATGATGGGATTTACCGAAGTAACTGTTATTTCTTTGCATGACATCTAACTGTGAAATCCACCCTTTTTCCCTCCTCAGAAACGAAATATGATGACGAATGTTCGGCTAATTTTGTTCCCACTCGTCCTGTGTATCATGCTTGTGCTTATGCAATCGATAATCGACAGTGAATTGGACAAGCCCAAATACGGATGTGGTTGTACTTGTATTGATACTAATGGAGATGGCCGCTGTGAGGAAGTCTGTGGAGTACAATTTTCAACTCTGGAACAAGCTTCCAGTTGCCCAATTCCAAGCCCACCTGAATGGCCTCCTTTGTTGCAAATGCCTGCTCMCGAGTTTCGTGCTGTTAGAACCAATTTTAATCCATTCACAGACTTACCAGACGAGTCGTGCAGGCGAACTGGGTCCTGTCCTGCCACTGTACTATTCACTGGAACTAACCAATCTCTTGGTGAAAGTATGCTCATCTATCTCTCTTTTGTGTATGCAGTTGAATTCGTTGATCTTTTTTATTTCTTCACGGATACTTAGATTTGGTCTCTTAGATTTGGTCTCTTTGCTTTGGTTAGTTCTGCTTGGAAGCATGTTCACAAATTCATTCAATCTGAATTCCAACAATGTTTCAGATAGTCTAGCTTTTAATGTGGTGGTAAGTGGTTAATCTTTTTCCTTCTCTTCCAAAAATATTTCATTTTGATCTTACTTCTTAGTCTGTGTATTCAGCATCTTATATCTTGTTTGCTCAACCTTTTCGGTTTTTTTAATGCCCAGGGCTCGAGCTCGATGACTGAAAATAACAATTTTCTGGAGCCAGCTTTTGCTTCAAATCTTCCTTTGTATAATGTGCAACTTCAGTGCACGGGGAACTCTTCTTTGACTGTTTCTGTTCCTGTATTATCAGCCGAAAAGCCTCAAGGTAAGCGCTGTTATTCATTATTTAAGATATATTTCTCAATTTTATTCTCATGGTTGGTTAGGTTGTAGGCAAAAATAGAAGTTAGAGAAGGCTGATGCAGAGATATTACATAATACTAATGATTAGACACACTCATCAACCCACACAATCGGTTATAATAAAAGTTCACTCACAGACATGTACAGACGTACAAAASATGAAAAGAAGAAGAAAAAAGAGTCTATTGGAATAGTCCTATATATTCATTGTTCATTGTCTTTTCTTTTTTGAGTGTAGAAGTTAGATGTGTTCAAGGCTTACAATTGTGGCGCGACAGTTCYTCCGTGATCAATGATGAGCTATATAAAGGATTTCATAAAGGAAATTCAGAGGGGAAGATTAATGAAGTCCTTGCAGGTTGATTTACTTGTTACCTTTTGCCACATTGATATAGTAGCAATTTTTTTTTTCTTTTCGGTGTTATGTTAGAATTCACAGTTTTATTCTTTCTACAGGTTTTGATTTCTTAAACTCAAATGCCAATAACTTTAATGTGAGCATTTGGTACAATTCAAGTTTTAAAAATGACTCGGGAAATCTTTTTCCGGCATTACTGCGTGTTCCACGCTCAGTGAATCTGGTAGGATTTTATTCCCCTTCTGTATCTGTATCACCTTTTTGGGTCATTTTCTTATGGTTTTGGCTTAGAGATTAGAGMCTAGGATTTTATTTTTATGTCGCTAAATTGGGATCTTTATCATGAATTTTAACTGTCATATAGGCTGATATTTCTTGGCATTACACTTACATGATTTTCAGAAGTACTTGTCAGTTTCAATCTTCAATTCCTTTGAACAAACTTACTTGCATCCTTCATAAAAATTTCTGCTTCCGCAACATCCAGAGTCTCGTGGTACTAAATTTATTGCAAATGATTGGTAAACAATATACCGAATCTTAAGTCCGTAGAATATCAACAAAATGATTAAAGCTTCTTACAAAACTGTCCTTTAAAATTTCGTATCCTCTTATTCACCCTATCTCTCTCTCCGTCTTTCTTTTAATTGCACTAGAGGAGAAGGTATGATATATAACACCGATTCTTGATGGTTCCACAGGCAACCAATGCCTACCTTAAATTTTTGCAAGGACAAGGCACTGAAATTCCTTTTGAGTTCGTCAAAGAAATGCCGAAGCAGGCGTCCAAACTCAAGCTCGATCTATCTTCTCTGCTTGGCACTCTTTTCTTTACTTGGGTTGTTCTGCAGCTTTTCCCTGTAAGATTCTGTTGATTCTGTCTTGTCTTTATCCAAAACTAAGAGATTATTTGAAATGCATGTCCTTAAGAGAATTGCTTGAACCACCACTCTTTAATACTAATGTTCTATAAATGTGTGAATTATCTATCTTAATGTTACTGTTATCTCTCTCAGTACTTTATACTGGCTATGCCTGTTAATCTAGGTTGTATTGACATCACTGGTTTACGAGAAACAACAGAAGCTGAGAATCATGATGAAAATGCACGGCCTTGGTGACGGACCGTATTGGTTGATCTCTTATGCATATTTCCTCACAATATCTGCCATCTACATGCTATGTTTTGTGATATTTGGCTCAGTTATAGGTATCGTCTTCTGCTCTTCTCCACTCTTTGGAGTATTGTTGCTGATTTTCTGTTTGCTTAATAATTTGTTATCTTTGCAGGGTTAAAATTTTTCACATTGAATGACTACAGCATCCAAGTTGTGTTTTACTTCCTCTATATAAACTTGCAAATTTCTTTGGCCTTTCTAACAGCAGCTTGGTTTACTAATGTCA